ATGTCCTTCTCCAGGGACAGGTTCTTCCCAAAATCACGTCCAAATATGTGAGACAAGTCTCCACCTTTACTTCAAAGCAGCATTCTGATTATACTTCCAAGACAGAATTGCTCATTCATCTGGTAGTCCAGGGTATATTCAATATTCTTTACCAACATCCTAACTAAAAAAAATATCATTTCTTCAGTTTTCCTTATTCATTTAGTTCAGCTTTTGTATGAGACAGAGCAACTGAAAATACTATTGTTTGGATGAGATACACCTTAGTCTTCAAAGTGACATCTTTGCTTTTTACCACTTTACAGAGGTTTTGTTAAGTGTATTGCCAAACGTAACACATCGTTTGACTTCTTTACTTCTATTTCCATGAGTGCTGACTGTGATTCTAATGAAATGGAATCACGGACAACTTCAATCTTTTCTCCATTTATCAGGGTCTCACTTCTTGGTCCAGTTGTGAGGACTTTTGTTTCTGGATACTGAGTTTTAATTAATACTGAAGGCTTTTATTTTCTTTAGCAAATGCTTCAAGTGCTCTTAGCTTTTAGGCAGCAAGTTTGGGCCATCTGCCCTATCACAAGGCTTAATTAAGTCTCCCTCAGATCTTAATTCCACATCTTCCTTCATATAGTCCAGCTTCTTAAATAATTTGCTCAGTATGCAGAATAAGTATGGTGGAAGGACACCACCTCGACATACGCTTTTCCTGATTTGAAATCATGTGGTGCTCATTTCTATTCCAGCGATTGAGTCTTGTCTACTTGGTCTCATAAGCACAATGAAGTGTTGTGGAATTGCCATTTTTTGCAGTTTAATTCTCAATTTGTTTTGTTCCACAGAGTCAAATGCCTTTGCATAGTCAATAAAACATAAGTAACTATCCTTCTTTTTTTTTATTATTTTTTGTGTGTGTACCATCAAATCAGATCTGACTGGTACAGGAGGAGACTGTCCCACCTTCTCCAGCAGAGCATCTGGTGGATTCGAACCATGCACCTCTGGGATTGATAACTATCCTTCTTTATTAATTTAAATTTTTTTTTCCTTTTAGTAACCATCTTTCTTGCATTTTCTGCTTCCAGCCAAGATTAATAAGAACAACTCCTTATAAGAAGAAAGGAGGACTAAGGAAAGTAAAAGAGTATTTCACACTCTAAAATTACACAGCGAGAGAGGGGAAAGCCCCTCAATTTCACAAGTATTCAAAGCATAAGAATTATACTGATTATACTGAGTGAGCAAAACCAAAAAAGACCAATTCAAACTAAAGACTTAACCAGATTAAAAGAAAAAGGAAAGTGCTCTCAAATTACCAAAGTGGTTACAGGGAGTAGGGAAGAAACGATACAACATTTTCAGACATTCCTTTTTAAAGTAATTAGGACAGAGAAGTACTTTCGTACTTCATTACATGTATTTTCATAATACCTAAAAATGATACGGAAATTCCAAACAGAAAATACTGTTCAAAACACCATGTGCAGTAATTGTGGGCATTTGCTTATCCACTGAGAATGTTAGAGAAGAGGGCAAGTACATGTGGCAGTAGACACAGGAAGAGCAGTTATGCTCCAGAGACCTTTAACTGCACAAGGAAAACGTTAGTTTGGCGCCTCTTGACTGTTAGCAGACAGAGCCAAGCCTCTACTTCTCGAAGCCCCCATCTAACCACCATTCTGGGATGCCTGATAAAGTTGCATTGCCAGATAAATGTTAACACCAATCAGCATAACTTGTTAATGAATGGACCTTAAAAAAAAAAAAAGGCAGAACTGTCTAGAGAGAAGGAAAAGATTACCTTACTTCACTAAAAAATAAAAGGGAGGAAAAAAGATACTAGATGGATAGGAGAAAGCTAGAAAACATTAATGTTAGAACAGATTTAGAATGCAGTAGACAAGAATGAATATAAGTTTTCATCAGTATGGTGAACCAGCATTTCCTCTGTTATAGAAAAGTTTTACAAACAGGTTACCCATATGTGTTGATGAAACCCTTTGCTTCAAGTGCCTGTAGTTTTTCAAAAGAAACCAAAAGCCAATGTATCATTACCGATTCTTAACAAAAGGAAAAAAAAAGAATTGAAAAATTTCAATAACGGACTTTTTCCAAATAAGGTCAAGAGAAAAATATCCCTCACTTTACTAGTAAAGGGAATGAAGTGTAGAAGTGTAAAAAATTTAGTCAGTAATCCTGAAACTGATGTGGCTTCAAATATTTTTTCCTTCCTCCACTCTCCCTAAGCAGGTTCAAGCTGTAATAATATGAACCTTCAAACTTAATCACCTTAAATTATTTTAGTTATATAATCACAAACCTTAACAACTGTCCTAGTTATCAGTAAATACTGTATGTCAGACCTTGTGCTAGGTGCTCTGTGTACGTAATTGTTTTTAAAGCTCACACGATCACATGTTGTTTTTATTTCCCCTTTTACAGATGAGGAAAAATCTACACTTAGGACACACAACTAGCAAAACCATATAAAGTCGGGAATCAAAAAAACCAGATCGGATTCAGTATTCTGTGCTGCTAACTGTAACCTGAAGCAGTATTTTTCTTAGTGTTCCTCTCAAAAAACTGAAACTGACATGCTGTTTGGAATAAAGCAGAAAGGGGATACAGGAAGTGGTGTAGTAGTACTTCCTAATTTATCAAGGTAAGAGCAACTGCACTGCTTTTTCTAAGATGAGGGAAAACCTGCACTAGTATAAATACCCAACTCTTTTCTGGCTCTGTTACTATTAAAATGAGTAAGTTTTTCTTTAACAAAATGGTCAAGCAACATCTCCAGGTCATAGTAAATAAATCAGTTTGGTTCAGTGATGGGGAGGGCATTATGCAACACTTCCCAGCACAGCCCTAGCCAGGATCTTTTACGCACTTGGGCCCCTCCTCTCAGCTAGACAGCCTGGCTCCTTCTCATTCCCCTCAGGAGATAGGGTGGAAGCGAACAGCTCCACTTTCTAAGGCTTTCTATGATGTAGAGGGCAGCTGAAAGTCCTGCTTGGCCTCTCTGGGCAACCACAGGCGCCAATAAATCAGCCACAGGCGATTCTCTCATCCCCTTCCCGGCTTGAAGTGGTGGCAAGAAATAACGCAGAAGAGCACTGACTGAACTTGGGAGATAAACGATCTAGGCTTGACTGCTAGTGCAAACGACTGCCATCACCATGATCAGGTAGATTTCTGAGCCTCTGCCGTAATATGGAAAGAGCACGAGCTCCTTTTTCCTAAGAATCAAAATTCATCTATGAAAGGAACTAGGATGGGCTGGCCCACTGCAGGTTCTTAATAGAAAGCACCTGAGTAGAATCCGCCTCCACTCTAACCAAGTAAGAAGTCTGCAGTAGGGCTGGGTAAAAAGGTGCACCAGCTCGCATGGGGTCTTTCCCCACTTTCTGGGCTAGTCAAACCCCATAGTCCACTATTTCCTGATCACCAGGAAGCCATCAGAACCGAACCCTATTCCATCAGTGTTTTGTTCTCTTTGAAAAAGCTGGTATCTGAAAACGGATGCATAGTTTACCCTTAACTAAAATACATCCAGATTACTAAAAAAGACTTTGATGTCTAAACCCAAGGAAAAAAACCAATGTTACAATGTTGGTTGTTCTTGCTGAAATTTGAGATGAATGGGGGAGAGGGACTTTAACTTGAGAGCCTATTATCCCACCTAAAAATTGTGCTGACCCTATTCCTTAAAACTCGAGAGCCTGATTCCTCAACAATTCGGTGCACAGTGTCTACAAAGAGCAAGTAAATTAAAATGGGCACCGCACTCCTGGGGTGGTGGAGCTCTGGTGGCCTAGAGGTTACAAACTGCACTGCAATCCTGAAGACACATGTTTGGAATCCACTAGCTGCTCCGCGGGAGACAGACGGGCAGTATCCGAGATTTACTGCCTCTGAAAACCCACAGTCCTAAAATTGTAGAGAAAAGTAATGGGAGCCAAAGGGTCTTGGTCACCTAATACAGAACAAGCCATATGTTCTTTAGGCCTGTTGTTGTGTACCACTGGATAGCTCTCTGGCGAGTTTTCGGAGGCAGAAAACCGCATGGAAGTTGATTGCCCATCTTTCTTCCTCAGGTCAGCGGGTGGATTCGAACCGTAAACCTTTGCAGCGCAATTCCTTGCCACTTAGCCACCAGAACTCCCTTGTACAGAGGTTGAACTAGATTTTCTAAGACTTCCCTCAGCTCTGAAATCTGTGATTCCCAAGTGTACTTCACACACTTGACAAAATCCTATGAGACAATCAATAGTTCTGCCAAAAGAACTTGAGTCTCAAGAGAATGCATGCCAAATGTAATCCCTTGGGAGGAAACGGGTGTTAATGTATTAAACGTGTATTTAAACTACTGTCAAGTTCCAAATAAAGCGCTAGGCGCTGCATAAGCAGTCTTGTAAGTGGGTGATTTCTCCAAATAATTGCTAGAGATGGTGGTGGCAAGAAGTCAAGCTTCAAATTAAAAAAAACCCAACCAACTGGGTTTGTTTAGAACAATACTAATATAACTTGAAAAAATGGAAAGAAATGAGTTGGTGGGATGAGATGATATTTCTCCTGCTCTTGATAATCCCATTCTGGAGAGAGGTACTGTAGTCTCAGCGGCCCGGTTGCCTATACCTGGAGACCTGCCCTCCTACAAAAGGGGTCGCCGCGGCTGCGTGGGGGACGCGCACGGGGTCGCCACGGGGCCTGCAGCGGGGAGAAAGCTCCATTGCGGCACCCCCACGCGCTGTCCCCTCCAGGGCCGGTTGGCTTGCCACAGCCAACAGCGAAGAGTGGCTCCGAAGATCCTCCACCCAGCGCTCACTTGCGGTTGCCATTTTCCTCCTCTGCCCTGACAACTCAAAAGGATCAAATACACCCCACTCCCCGGCTACTTGCATCTCTCCCGCGACCGGCGGAGGTGCAGGCCACTTCCCCGAGCGGCTCGCGGCGGGAGGGGCCGAGCCGGGAGCTGCCTACAGGGGCCGGGCCGCGTCGCTTACCCAGATGCCGCCGCGGCGGCGGGCCGGCTCCTCCGTGCGGGAGGGGCAGGCTCCCGCGCCGCGCTCGGCACGCAGCAGCGCCGCCTCACGCACCCCGTGGTCCGCTCTCGCGCGGCTTCCCGCGCCGGCCGCCCCGCGATGGGCCCACGTGATCGTGCGCCTGGTAGCCGGGGAGCGGGTGTGCTGGGGCTAAGTGTGCGTGCGTGCGTGCTTACGTGCGCGCCCGTCCGCCAGCCTTAGTGGTCGGTGGGGGTCGGCCAGCGTTCGGAGCGCTGCCGCCACGGTCCCTAGTCGTGACTCTGTAGGCGGAAGCTTGGGGACGAACCTGAGCGTCACAGGCGCCCCACACACATCCGCGTGACCTGGGGACTTTCCCCAGGGTGTGCAAAAGCATGGGCACCCTTTCAGTTCTGGAGTGGGGGCGGGGAAAGATGCGCCCGCGTGTTCGCGGGGTGAGGGGTTGGGGCTCGGGGCCAGGGAGGCCGAGCCGCGGGAGACTGGGAGGGGAGGCGGGCGGGGCGGGGGGGGGGATGGTGGGGGAAGTGACTCAGGGCCCCAGGCGGACAGGCCCATCGAAGGCAGGGTGGGGGAGCGCCGAGAATGTAAGACCGTGAACCAGGCAAGGGTAGCGGCGCCCCCTTACTGTCTGGGGCGTGTAACAGGGGAGAGTCTAGCGGCTGAGTACTTCGGGGCAGGGGTCTGACATCTGGAACGGAATGGGGAAGTAGCATCCTGCCCTTGGGGAGTTGTGAGGAGCCCAGTCCCATCCAGCTGTGCAAACAGGAGGAGGAGGTCCCACGCCTACCCTGGGGAGAGGGGTGGTCAAGCTGCCGCCGCACCGCGCCAGCCCCCGCGGTGCGGGTTGCGCCAGCCTACTCGGAGCCCGACGCAGAAACTTGTTGCAACAAACAGGCGACCGCGGGTGCCCCTAGCAGCCAGCGGCGGAGTGGGTGGGCGGGCGAGAGGGAGGGGAAGGCTGGCGGACGCCGCAGCGAACTGGTGGGCAGACCCGGAGTCGCCGCGTAAGCGGGGCCGGCTCAGTGCGGTGCGGCAGGCGCGGCTGTGCGGCAGCGGAAGTCCTTTGTTGCAGCGCAGTCCCTGGCAGAGCTAGAACCTCTCCGCGCAGCCCAGCCCGAGCGCCGCGCGCCTCCGCCACTGCAGCTCGCTGCCCCTTCGCCTCTGCCCGCCTTTCCCGCAGCTGTTTTGCCTTAAACTCCCTAAAATCTCCGCAGCTCTGGTTCCTGCTGCGGCCGGTGAGTATTTGCCAGTTGTGAGGCTATTTGCGCAACTTTGGCCCGGGCCAGAAGGCCATGGGCCATGGGCCTGACGGAGTGCGGGGCCAGAGCGGCGCCGACCCGTGCGGGGAGCCGGAGCGCGGCGGACGCACAGCGAAGACCCGGAGACGGGCGGCTGCCGGGCCGCCTGCTCTGTCCCGCCGCCCTCCGGCGCGTCTACTCCCGGGCGTGTGACTTCTCCGAGTCGGAGGAGAATCCCCCGCAACGACTAGTTCTCAGATTAGTTGCCTTCTCTTCCATTTCTTTCTCTTTATTTTTTTGAGGGCGGGGGGAGGGGAGGGGAGGTGTAGACGGGAGGCGGGAGGACGTGGTTTGATTGACGTGCTCAGAGCCCGCTTCTCTCAACTTACAGCTGCGGCTCCCGGGCGGGCAGGAGGGGAAGTGTCCCGGAGCCCGAGGCCGCAGACTTGGGCGCGCTCCGAGGGAGGAGGCGTAAGAGCCGTGCAGATTCTTGCTTTTTCCCACCCCCCTCTCCTCTGCACACACGCTTTTTGTTCAGTCAGAAGTGAGTAGGTCTGGGATTAGGGAATTTTCAGTGGAAAAGATCAGTTTCCTGGGGAGAAAGTGCTTTCGCGTCAAAAGGTGGGCACTTACTAGAAGTTCTGTTCCTGCTTGGTGAATGTGTTGGATGTTTGTCTGGGAGTCGTTACCCCTAAAATATGTAGGTATGGGTCTGAGTTTAACCACTCCCTCCCAACGTCCCTTACTACCTCAGCAACGCGTCTGTTTGCTCTGAAGGGTCGCAACGATGACTTTTTCCAATTGGCAACATTAAGGGAAGGTTACTTACAACCCTTGATATTTTCTAGGACACACATAAGTGTGTAGTAGGTTTTTGTGTTTTGTTTTTTTAATCGTGCTTCAACGTGGTAGGTAAACGCAGATTCCCCCTTGGTTTAAGTTTCATTCCATACAGTATGTATCACTGCAGGAAAACTGTTCCATGATGCCTTTGACCCTTGAGCGGGCTAAGGGTTTTTGAGGCGGTTTTTTAGTAATTATCTTGAGCTGAAGTTTAAGGCACTTAGGAGCAGTTAAGAAGGGCATTTCTCATGATGACTTCCGAGGTATCACCATCTCTTTCTTGAAAAATTAGATTCTGTCATATTTAACCAGTGTACATGGATATGATCTGGAGAAATGGAGAGAGTTGAGATACAAAAAGCAGCAGTTTGCACGATTCTCGTTCTCATTTGCTCAGAACTTCAGACTTCTTTTAATCACGTGTTGATGAGCAGATCATGTCTAATAGTTTCATTAAGAACTAGATGACTTTGGAAGCTAATGAAGGCCTCATCTTAAAAAGAAAAAATAAGGAAAAAAGCACTGGACAGGTAAAATACTTTGCCAAAGACTGCAGTAAAGACTTCAGTTAAAATAGTTTCTTCAAGAACTAAATTTTCAGGGTGTAGAACAGCTCAGGCTGAACAGTTTTTCCTGATACTTGTTTATCCCTCTCATCTCTACCTTTTTTTTTTTTAAAATGAGACCCTGGTGTATTATTATCACAGAAAGGAGAAACCATATTTAACCAGAACCCTCACAAGACCTGAGTACAGTCTCTACTTGCTCTTGACCTTGTGTTTTGATTTTGCTTTCATTAGCTCTGTCTACTCAATTTTGGTGCTGTTTCTGAATTCTTATTTGCCAACTCTAGAGAAGACAGTTCATGGACCTTTTTAAGAATGTCTTATATGTTCCTTGCAGTACCATCTCCAGTTTTAATGTGCAAGTGAAAAGTGTCCACTTTCAGGCCTCTGCTCCAACCAGGAAAAATACTAAGCCTCTCTGTGTCCAAAGGGAAGGAAACTATTTGGGATAGAAATGTTGAAAATTTTCCAGGATTATCTTAAAAGGTGCAATCTTGTCTCCTAAAAAAAGTTAACGTGTAGTTAGTGGAGAAAACATCACTTGGGAGTTCACTTTGGTTTCTATAAAGTGTATTTTCTTCCTCTTAAAACATTGGAGGATTTTTTTGTTTCCTTGTGCTCTTTCACATGAGCTAAATTTAAAGCTAGCCATATTCTTTTCTCACAGTGCAAAATTTTTCTTATAAAACACATGCTCCTACAACCAACACATATAAAATACAAAAATGAAAGTCATTCTGGCTCTCATGCCCGAGAGATAATCACAGTTCAGTCAGTTCCTTGTTTAAAACTAGAGAATGCAGCACTTGATCACAGCTGTGCGTGCCTCCCGCTGCCTATTGATGGCCTATACTGGTGCCTGCATGTTCTCTGTTCTTAGGTTGGTGAAAATTGCTAGTTAGGAAAAGGCAGGGTTTTATTTTGGGCTGATTTAAAATGAAAGATAAGGAAATAGATTTGAGAGTTTAATATAAGAAGCCTGCTATTTTAGGCTTGTCCTGAATATGATGTACCTACTGTACTTGGTGGGCTAGTTCTCACACTTTTTAAATGTTATTGTTACTGTCCAGTCTCTGGTTAGGCCCTTTAAAACAAAACCCTTAAATTTCTAGAGAGTTTCTAAATTTATAGTGAAGCAGGAGTAGGTGTGCTTGATGTGAAGACTACTACCAACTAACACATCCTTGTGCCAGTACGGGATGGGAAGGTGCATTCCAGCTACACCAAACTAGTGGGAAGAAGAGGGTTGATAATGTCTCTTCTGTCTTCAGATGTGGTGTGGAAGATCTTGAGACTGGACAGTGGAGTGGCAAGCACTTAGCCTTGAATGCCACTCGGAATTGCTGCCTGGGCCCCGTATTTATATTTCTAGGTATTTTTTTTTATATTTAGTCATTTTTATATTAACTGCAAGAGATCATAGTCACTGTACAGATGCATTTATTCCTTAGCTCATGCATTCAAGAATGAACTGCAAAGAAGTTGATATTTTAAAAAACATTACACATAGAAATTGAATCACAGCATTGGTTAGTTTAGAGTGTAGACGTGAATGTTTTTCACCCTATTTTCTGTTTAAATTTGAAAATGTTTGTCAAATAAAAGAAAGTCAATCAGATTTTTTTTTCTAAGTTGTCTCTGTGTAACACCTTAAAAGAAAGAGCTTTCTCCACTTTAAACCTGTAATGTTAGGGCGCATTCTATGGGTTGGCACTGATAGTCAGCAGATGGGAAAGGAACTATGAGTTCTATTTTGCATACTTGGTGAGATTAGTTTAAGAATGATGAGAGCTTTTTTAAATCATTGAAGAAAGGTGACTCTGGGACAATTAGGATGTTCCAAAGGGACATTTTAATTCACAGTGATGTCTAGAAAGAAAAGTATTTACAAACACTGAAGGGCTTTGAATCAGAAGAATCACTATTTGAGGCCTAGCTTGTACTTACAGAATGAGCAACTTTGGGCAAATCAGTTTCTGTCTGTCTTTTGTCATTCAGGACAGGAGGAAATAAAAGTAACTGACAAGGTGATTATGAGAGAAGGGTGTGTAATTGTGTTTGAAATGCTTTGTAAAATTTTGGCCACTGTATAAAAGTTGTCATGATTGAAATAATGCAAAAAATTGATAAAGAAAAATTGGCTACTTAACATTTATTCATTCAAAATCTGATCAAATAACTGGCGGCTGCACCAGCCTCAGGGAATACTGAGGTAATTGAGACAAGGCTCTGATGACAGGAATGAACAGTAAAGCAGGTGATGTCTGTTTGAGTGAGACATTACATGTCACCTTAAGAGGGGCATCGCTTCACTTTGGAGATTAGAAAGGACTTCTCTGAGGTGATGAGTTGGACATCAAAAAGGTTCTATAAACCTGTAGAAGCTTTATCTGCGTGCTACGTGTTTGGGATGTGGGGGCAGCTGCTTTTAATCAGACTTAAGGCTTACATATAGGAGTTTTTGAGCTTTTTTCCCCTTTCATTGAATTTTAATTAGATGTAAATGTGAAGGTTTCAGGATTTTGAGTTAGAATTAAGGGAAAGAAACGTTGAGACAATATTAGAAACAAAATTTAAAATGTATAAGATCTGAGAGAAGGAAACTAGGTAATACCTTTCATCATCATGGAGAGAACTCCCTTATTCAGCATTTCTTATGGAGAGAACTCCCTCATTCAACATTTCTTACATGCTTCCTATGTTCCAGCCAAATGCATACGTTATTTTTGTCTTCAGGTTGCTGAGATTTTTACAGGGGAGACCGTCAGGTAATAATAGTTCATTCTTACTTAGCACTGAACTGGTGGCTGCTACTACTTTACAGTAACTCCGAAAACAAGGAAGCATTGTTATTCTCAGATGAGAAATTGAGGCACACATTAGTTTAATAATCCATTCCAGGTCACATATGGCCAGGATTTGAAAATAGGCAGTCTATGCTTAAATGCCTACATTATATTCCTCTTCTGTTGATTAAAATATAATAGGTGCACTCAGAAAAGGTGAGGGGGGGATAATACACGATTAACATTAAAACCTAAAATAGTGGGAAGGGGTGTTGTTACAGAAAGCTTTTGACAGGATGTGGTAAATTGATTCTCAAATGATGTAGGGAGGTTCACTTAACAGGAATCAATCAGCTAATGTAGAAATGGAGGTAAGAAACACAAATTATGAGGATGAGGGTCAAGTAATGCTGTGCTGCTTGAGCTTGAAATTTGAAGCAGGAAGTGGCCAAATACGAATTTGCACTTGAGTCAGAGGCAGTGTGGAGGGGATTCTTGAAGCAGGAGAATAACACTGTTTGATTGGAATCACTTAGAGTAAAGCATGGCTTTGAAAAACAAGTTAGGAGCCTGTTGTAATAACCCAGAAGTGAAGAGGGAGACCTTTGGGAGGGCAGAGAAGATGGGAACGGAATAGAGGAGTAGATTTGGGAACTATTTAGTTGGTAAAATTTGAAAGACGGAGAAATAGTAGGTGACTCCCAGGTAACCGAGGTAATTGGTGCATAGTGGGATCAGCTGAAACAATACAGGGAGAGAAAAAGTTTTCGGGTGATTTTCAAAGTTTGAGTCCACAGAGTAA